ACAAAACATTTAAATTTAGGCGGCTTTGCCGCAGATAAAAATAAATAAAAATCAGTCTTGAATTTAAACTGAAAAGTATAATGGCCTTGGGTTAAGGTTATAACTACTCTTGGAGGTATCGGATCTCGATCCACTACACTTGTAATTGTCCAAAACTACCGAAGTGGTAAGTCACTCGACCTGGGACCGGAAGGTGCCTGGTTTGATACCCATAGGATCCGAAGTAAGGCAGCCGGGGATAGGTCGCTAAAGTGGACAAGCAATCACATCTAATAAGAGTTTCTGCTCTGTCAATCCGGTGTGATAGTTGGGTGGGCTGAAAGCCCTACTGACTGGAAAAATAGTGTAGCAGCTGGGCTGCCGTAGGTCTTTTGCTTAAAGTAAGCTAAGCTACGGTCGGTGACCAGTGTTCTATTTAGACACAAAACAAGTGTAGCGGATTGCTATTCGCTTACTCCTTGATTCCAAACCCAAGGCTAATATACTCTTCCGGTTAAAATGTAGACTGTATTTCTTGGTTTTATTTGAGGCAAAGTCGCCTATATCTTCATTTATAGGCTTTTCTGATTGAATAGTAAAATGCATTACTACCGGCAGTCCAGCCACGTACTGACTTCTTTTAAAGCTGTAGCCACACCATTGTATGGTCACACCACCTTGTGTGAGCCACCACTTCATACCAGGGAGTGTGTAACAGGGTTACACACTCCCTGAACACTCACGATTCACATTTAATTGACGTCTTGTACGAGGCTTGCGTGTCTAAGACACCTCTACATCCCCAGGCCCTTCTGCACGCACTCTCTGGTCAATGAGCCTAGTGTCTAGGACCCAGCCTCGCAGGATCCGAGAGCGCCCGAGGGCAGAGCCCTTCCTCATCTCCTGCACGCGGTATAACTTCGGACAGCATGTCTGCGGCCTTTAAAAAAGCGCATCCCAAGCCCTCGGCAACCGAGCACCGCGCCCGTCACGGGCCACGGATTACCTCGTCGAGGATTTGGAGGAAGTCGACGACGATTCGGATACTCCTTTCTTTTGATGGAAAGAAGAAGAGGGTGAGGTGCGTCAGCGGCGCGATGTGAGCCCTGCTTGAACCTTGCGGACATCATGTCCGTTTCTTGACCTCTCGACTCCGGGGGAAGTGGTGTCATAACCGATGACCTCGACGAGGCACAGAAAAATCAGTTGGATGCTGCCCGCAGGGCAGCTATGACTGGCATCCACGGTCAATCCTCGACGCTCGTATGATATATGGGATCCACTCAGCGGATCCCGCTACAGAAGCGAAGGACGCGATCACTTGATCGTTGGGTGTCTACGTGGTTGGGCCTCCACAACACAAGCTGAGCTTGACGAACGAAAAACGCTGCCAGCTCGCGGCACCAGGAACTTTCCGCTTTGCCCATCTAGCAGCGGATCCACAAGGATGTGGACGTGCGCGTGGATCGCCATCTTCGGTTTGAGTTTGCCAAAAATAAAGGCGCGTCGTCGACTTTCTTCGTATTGTCGCTCTGCGACGTATGGATAAATACATCACGTTCCCGTGACTTCTGTGGTCTCTCACACAGGTAAGTTTGCGACCACAGCAGCTCAGAGTCGTAGCCTGAGCTCAGCTCATAGCCCTCCGGCTTCCCTGGCTATTGCCGAGAAGCGCAACGTCATGATCCACTTGATCATAAGCGTCCACGACGTCCGGGCTTTCTTGCCAAAGTGGCACCTTAAATTCCCACGAGTTCTCGGAGTCGGGGTATCCCCGCCACTTCACAAGATACTTGACTTGACCCTGGCGACGAAATCGACTCACAAGACATTTAACGTGATAGTGGACATTAGCGTTCTCGTCGAGAAGTCGGCGGTAGATGATGACGACTTGGTCGACGCCATCCGGTGACTAGCGATACTCTTCGAGCTCCTGAGGACCAGGTCCGTCGCGATCGGGACTTCGCTGAACATCATGCTGGGGCCGCATACCGCTGGGCGGAAGACCTAGAGAGCTTGGATAGATTTGTGCACCGACTGTCTCAAGTTGAGGACTATCGCGCTCTGTCGAAGCGACACCTAGCCGTCTAGCAGGAGAATGCTTCGCTTCGTGCGACGGGGGAGCGCCTTGCGCCGTTGGAAATGGAGATCGTTGCACTCCGTGCTCAAAACCAGTTGCTGGTCCAGCTTCTTGGTGGTCGAGCGTCGGTGGGCGCCGACGCTCTCCGGCGCCAACTCTTCCGCGTTCACTTGCGCCGGATTCTGATACGGCTTGAGTAAGTCCACATAAAGAACCGGGTGGGTGCGCATCCGTTTCTAAAGGTTTAGCGTATGCGGAAGGCTCCGCTTGGCCAAGACCCTAAAAGGTCGACAAACCGTGGACGGAGCTTCGTCTTGAAGACAGCAGAATATGCACATGTAGGACATTTCTTAGCTTTTAATAAAACTTAGTCTCTGACCTCAATGATTTCAGCATTTCCTCTGCTTCTTCCGTCTGCATATTCTTTCTGCAAGTATTGGCCTTCAGCCATCGCATCGCGAACGTGTCGTAAAAAACTCAGTCTGGTAGACAGGAAGTCGTCGGCTTTGTTATGAACGGCGAGGGGGCTAGCATCAGCTAGCCGCTCGGCTATTCCTACCCACCAAGCCCTGAGCCATGGGATGGCGGCATTAGAGGGACGCGAGGATGAACGAGCCCGTTCACGTAGAACGACGTGTAACCATTAGACGGACGCACTGCATTGTTCAGAGCGAACTCAATGAGTGGCAGATTAGAGCTCCAGCGCCTCGGAGTCTCAGCACAGATGCTGTGAAGGACGTCTTCATCGACGCGATTCACGCGCACAGTTTGACCATCGGTCTGCGGATGGTCCGCTGGTGACATATTCAACTTGGTGCCCAGCACCTTGAAGATCGTCGACCAAAACTTCTTAATGGAGTGTGGGTCTCTGCCAGAAATAATGGACCCCGGAAGCCCATTTTGTCGAAAGACACGCTCCACAGACAACGTAGCTCTACCGACACCGCCGATGGTCTTTGTTGCCGCCACAGGATGAGCCATATTGCGCAAACGGTCGACGAAGACCACGACACCTGTGTTGCCCGTCGGCAGGCCAAACACAACATCCATACTCATGGACTGTCAGCACCCGAAGGGTCCCGGCAAAACTGGCCAGCGGCGCGCCGCATTTGGAGAGGGTTTCACCCTTTGACTCGTCTTACATATGCGCGCATAGGTGCTCTTCCATTCGTACAGCTTGGGCTACCAGTAGTCGTAGCTCACAGAGCTGTAGGTCTACTCACGACCGAGATGACCATTAAGTGGGTTGTCGTGGACCTCATAGAGGATACGATAGTTCAAATCCTCATCGTGAGAAACTACAATTCGTGGCGTATCCGTCGAGTCGGCGCTATAATACAGCAATCAGTTGTCGGTGCATCCGTGCGTGCAGTTGCGACGACAACTTCTTACCAGACTTTCCAAGCTTCTTGCCCTCGAGAGCTCTAGCAGTGCTACGCACATATCATCACCCGCATTTTTGGCAATCCGTCACTGACGACGTCACCGTCGTGACATGAGCAAGCTCATGATTCTGTCTACCTGACAACGCATCGGCCAGAGAATTCTGCTTTCCTGGCCTATACTTCACCTCGAATTATATTCAACAAAGAAAAAAAATCGCCTGGCCATCCTCCGCGAGAGGTGAGGCGACTGAGTCGCAGTGCGTAGTGACGCATGATCTGTGTAGATCACAAACGGCTTGGAGCCGAGCAGGTGTACCCTAAACTTGACAAATGCATACTTCATCGCAAAAATTTCCGTGTCGTGGACTGGGTATTTCTTCTCTGCAACCTTGAGCTGGCGAGATTTGAACGCGATCACCAGATCTTGCCCCTCGGCGTATGCTTGCAGCAGTGCACAGCCGATGGCAAAGCCCGGAGCGTCACAGACGACGCTGAAAGGACGATCAGGGTCTGGCAGCGCCAGTATTGGTGCATGCAGGAGGCTGTCTTTGACTCCGTCAAAAGCCTCCTAATGTTCGGTGTTTCAACACCATTCCGCATCTTTTTTAAGAGGTAGGATGATGGCCGGGCCATTCCGGCGTAGTTTACGCTGTACCTGTGCAAGTAGTTGGCGAGGCCAAGCCACTTGAGCAAGTCCTTTTGGTATTTTTA